AACCTTTGATCCAAGGCAAACACCATCGTCGTCGTCATCATCATCATCTCTACCTTCATCATCATCATCGTCGTCGTCATCATCATCATCTCTACCTTCATCATCATCATCGTCGTCGTCATCGTCTTCATCATCATCATCATCTCTACCATCATCATCTCTACCTTTCTCATCTTCATCGTCGTCGTCGTTATCAGAACAGTACCAGCGAACGAACGACTACATGCAAATAGCTTTCTCCCTCATGTCTATCTCCCAGAAGTGCCTCGTCGTCACCATGCTCCTCACCTTATCACTATCTCTCTCTTTCATCGCCCCTTACGTCATGCGTTACGTCAGACGGTATAGAAGTACATCGCGCGGGAAATGTTTTTGCGGTGATTGCAGTAGCTTCCGTTGCTGTTATATTTGCAGCAGCAGCAAAATTTGTTCTAATAACAACGATCGTCGTTATTGTAGTTGCTACCAAATTGCTGAAGAAGAACAACGTCATCAAAGTAAAACGTCAGGGCACCAGCTGGGTTTGAACCCGGGTCGGATCAGGTCATCGAAAGATACTGACGACGCTACGGACAGCCAAGTCATTTGGCTGTGTGAACTGAACAACAACAACAACAATAATAATAATAACAATAATAAACTTGATGGTCCGAAGTATCAGCTAATGAAGAAAGCACACGAAAGCATGTTTGTTTGCAAAAATTGCGGTAGAGTTCAGCAATCATCGGCATCAATTAGTTTTACTACCGCTACTGCTGCTACTACTTTGTCAGTAGCTACCACTACTGATAGTAGTAGCGCTTCTACTCTTACTCTAGTAAGATACTCAACCGGCAAAAACTGTTGCTGCTGTAGAGAGCACGAGACGAGCAGCAGCAGCAACAACAACAACAACGACGATACGCAAGTATATACATTCATTCCGAAGCCCAACAACAACAAATACACAACAACAGCAACAACTACAACAGAGCATTCAGACGATGAAGATGACGACGACAATGATGACAACCGTGGTGATGACGATGGTGGTGGTGGTGGTATTAAAAGCGCGCCAAATAGGAGCGCGGAGAAGAGCTTGGCGCGAATAAAAAAATCCAATGCAAAAAGAATTATTCCTCTGTTCTCAGAAACCAACGTTTAAGAAAGGGTTTAATTTAAATCACACGCTATATAAGTGGATAAAATTTTTAATCCGATTAGAAATAAAAATGGTTTTCTATATTTTTTCTTAAAAGAGAACTTAAACATTTCCTTCTTAATTTGGCGCCATTTTGTTTGATCGTTTGTAAAGAAAAAAAATTAGACCAAATAGTAAATAAATCAACCAACCAATCAAATTACTTCATTTGTAAAAGCTTCAAAAAAATCAAGAGTATATCACATACACACGCACGCACAAACACATACACGCACACAAAAACTAACATTCACACACACATTCACAGACAAACAAACAAACATATGTATGTTTATAATTTGCTCACATGCTTCTAACATTTATTTTCTTTTATTTTTCGTAACAGTTTGGTGAAATATTTAATTTAATTAATTGAAAAGTCATAAACTTATCAAAGCCGCGACTTAATGATTTGTGGTATTAATGCAAATTTAGACTTATTACCTACATCACAACAACAACAACAACAACAACAACAACAACAGCAACAACAACAGCAACAACAACAACAACGGCAGTGATCACAACATTACATCAATATTTTCTATCTATTAATATCTCAGTAAATATATAAACCAAAAATTGTGCTTAGAGTACACGCCAAAAGACATTTTTATGTATGTGTGTTTGCATGTATGTGTATGTGTTTGTATATGTTATGTGTGTTTGTATGTGTTTTTGTATGTATGTGTGTGTGTTTGTATGTATGTATGTATGTATGTATGTATGTATGTATGTATGTATGTATGTATGTATGTATGTATGTAGGTATGTATGTATGTATGTATGTTGTATTTATGTTTGTACGTTCAACACACACATACAGACACACACATACACAAACACACACACACATATATACGCGTTACAGTTGTTATTGCTGTTATTATTATTAATATTGTTATTATTATTATTATTACTGTAATAATAATAATAATTATTGTTGTTATTATTATTATTTTTTTCTGAATCCATCGGACTCAGTGGAAGCGAGTATTATTGAGACGGATTGGCGGGAGAAGAAGTTCATCTACTAATTACTCTGTGACGTCATGCATAAAATTCGCGCCGTTGTTGTTACTGTTGTTATTATTGTTGTTATTTTTACATGGTTGACGTTCGTATCATTGCTTCTTTTGTTAATGTTTTTTTAACGTGATAAATGGTATTATTACATTAACATTTTACAGTTTAAATGATACGCACACACACGCGCGCACACACAAACACACACACATATATATTTATATATTTTTTCCAGTATTTATTGGCCATATATATATATATAAATATATATATATAAATACATATATATATATATATATATGTATGTTGGACAACTGGATTATGCTTTTATTGATTTGAAACAATTTTTCAAAAGAATAAAATTAATTTTTCATCAGTGTCTGCAGACATTCATTTGATAATAATTATTAATAATTATGAATTATTATTATTATGAATTATTATTATTATGAATTATTATTATTAAGTATTATTATTATTTTTTTTTTATTTTTTAATAACGTCATGAAGGTTTTTTCATATTCAGATGCCATTCTCAATTTGAGAGAGAAACTAATTCTTATCTGTTCAAGTGTTAGAATAATTGGAAAAGAGAAAAAAACGAATGAATGAATGAATGAATGAACGAACGAATGAACGAACGAACGAACGAATGAATGAATGAATGAATGAACGAACGAATGAATGAATTAATTAATTAATGAACATAAATATGGAACATAAATATTCTGCAGTTTAATTTGTGATAA